GAAGCGTGCCAGATCATCTAACGATGTCGATGGAATACCAATGTCGGAAGACCGTAATTCGTTGCGAATCAACTGCCAGTTGTTCTTTCCGATATTTAGCTTACTTAGGACTGCTTTGACTGCCGCGCGTTTTGGAAAACTGATTCTGCAGAATTCCATGATCATGTCTAACAGGTCGGCGTGATTCAAGTGGAAACACATCTGCGTTGATCGAAATGAAGGGAACTCATCGATGATCTCATCAACGACCTTGAGAACCTCTGCCTCTTTCAAAGTAAGGTCAAGCGTATCGTATGACAACACATCGAAGTCTGCCTCGCCGTTACTACGTGGAGCACTTCCGGTGTAGTCGTCACGGTAGACATGACCGATTGTGAAAGTCTTCTCTAGGAACGCTCCACCTCGACCGATGCTACGTGCGTACGGCAATGTTAGATCGTAAGGTAGTTGAACCAGGGTTCCAGAGGGGTCGAAAAGTTTGACGACCTTCGTGTCCGCATAATGGTCGGACCAGGGTAGTAGAACTTGACGTTGTATCTCGACAGCGCCGTGGCTCCGAAAGACCATGGCCAATCTGTCCCTCACTAGATTCTGTAGAAGCACATCATTAGCCTTGATCTTCTGGGTAGTCGCGCTCAGATCCCATGCATGGTCTTTTGCTTGCGTATCGGGTTTTTGTGAGAAAAGAGCAGCCATCATCTTTGCGTAGTGTGGCGAGTTTCGATCTGAGAGGGCCTTGAGCGCTTCTTTGACGGCCTCGTCTTCCATCTGAGCAGGCACCTTGCCGCTCCTCAAGAGCTCCGTACACCCGGGCCTCTCTGAAGGGCGATGGCTGATGAGAGACTTGATAATGGTACCCTGCAACGACTTTTCCGGCGTCTCGAATTCTTGTGGAAGATCATGTTTCCTCTCCCGCAACGATCGAATAACTTTGTCGCGCTCCATGGCAGTCCTCAAGGGAAAGCACATCTCGAAGAAGATGATGCCCATGGAGTACATGTCCACCTTGTTGTTATAGTCGCCAATAACGCTAGAACTGAGCTCAGGAGCAACGTAAAGCGCATAGTACCGACACTCCGCGTCATGTCGCCGCCATCCTGTGTACCATTAGAGGACTTTGTATCAGGTCTCTGATATTGGCCACTGGTAGCTCGTCCAAAATCACCAGCTTAGGCACCTTAGCCATATCCGATGAAGACGTTGTCAGGCTTGAGGTCACGATGTTATGATACCGTGGCCATGGATGTGAGGCGAGCCTTCGAGAATTTGCCGGACGGAACAATCTCCAGTATTCGTCTGGATCATCATAAAGTCCGGTACGTAATCAACTCCCGGAGGCTGCGTCTCGCAAAACTCCATTGAATGTACAAGATTGACCTCGAGGACTTTGCAGGTGTTGAGTCGGACATGCGCGTTTCTTGACTGCCGGTGAGAGTGGTCCTTAGACTAGCCTCATCTTCTGTTTCCATTCAGCTTGCTGTATACATAAGGCTCCGTGCCATTCGGTACTTACCTGAGTCGACCAAAGATATCTGCACCAACGTCATCTTCCGACTCTGGCGTCAGACCCCAAATTCGATCTTCGGATATCCACTGGAGCTAATGAAAGTCTAGTCCAAACCGGTGCTCTTTCCATAACCGCCGCCATCGGTCGTGGTGTCCCTGGAGAAACATCCGACCTCCCAGTCAGACTCATCGCCATCTGATGTTGGCCCGAGTCATAGTATCATCTGCTTCAGCCTCTGCCAGCAGATAGTAGCGTACCACACAGCTGTGGTTGAGCCGCGAAAGCAGCATGACTTCCGAAAGAACTTCGCTTAAATGCTGCTGCCGACTTCTGCTTGATCTTCTTGATAGCATAAAGAACGACCGTCGACTTTGTTGCGGGCTTTCACGACTTCGCCGTACCCGCCCTTGCCCAAGCGACCTTGTTCGACACCAAATCATTTGCGTATCGTGAGTACGACGGAACGAGACCAGAGGAAGACTCTCGTCGTAGCCTGTAACCGGTCCCCTAATGAGGTTGAAGAGTTTCTTGAACGTACAGGTGTGGAAGGTCGCTCGTATACATCTACGTCGTCGCGTAAGGAATTCGCACGGGATGAGGTCGAAGCTGAAGGTCGTTTCTTGGGGTCGGGCTTGAAGAATTTGCGCAGAACTTCTTGTAACGGTTCAGAGCAGCCAAGAATATCGGACAGTTCTTTGGGTGAATTGTAACTTCCAGGCACATCGAGTCCGAAGAGCCATCGGAGGAACGTGACCCTAGATCCCATACGTCCGTCTTGCGGGTGTGACGCGCATCCTGAGACAGCTCGGGCGCTATCCAGTAGAACGTCTTAGGGTTTTCGTTGGCTGTTCATCCCAACATAAGCTTCGCAGGTGGTACAGAGAGCCTTGGAAGCTGGCATCGGCTAGCAATAACTGGTGATACCACCCACCGGGCGATCTCTTGAATAAGATATTGTGAGGATGAACGCGCTTATGGACTATACCGTTACGGTGGTAGAAGTCCAGTGCTTCTAATAGCTCGATGGTCCAAACCGCACTTCTCGCAAACCGGTAGGGGGTCCATCATCCGCAAGTCGCTCGCCTAGAGAAACCTTTGTCGGCAGTGGATCCCATAAGGATACCTAATCTCCCCGGATTCCGGAATCGGGTAAATGCTCCACTTTGAAGTCCAACCACCGCCATGATGGCTCCTTGTCGCAATCCGCTTGATCTCCTCCCATCTCGTCTTCAAACTCCATAACTGCCTTTTTCAGCTGTGGGCCAGCAGCAGCGTTCCCGCCACCCACCCGAGCACGTTTTAGCACCAGTGAAGCGTTGCTGTACTTCCGGCCGGTTATAACTAGAAGTTGTTCGGTCAAAGGGCCAGAACGTAAAGGAAGTGGATTCTCAACGCCCATTGCACTGGATAAACGGTATCTTCGTGCTGGATAACGATGGTCCTATCGAAGGAGATTGTAGTTGTTACTCTCCGCGCTGGGAAAGTACGAAGGCGGAGTGTTCGCGGATACACGGTGCTTCTGCGCTTTGCCATCAGGGTCTTTTCGGCGCATTTCGTCACCCACCATCCTGCTGCAAAAGACGCTCCTCCTCAGCCTTCTCTTCGTCACAGCTTCTTCTGCAACTCTTCTTCCTGCTGCTTATTAGATGTTCGACAGCAGCGGCTTCTTGTACTGCTCGCTCAGCATCCAGATTCTCGTAGGTACCGTCCGTCTCGCGGACAGCGATCTCGTCCTCTATATCTCTTGAATGGCAGTCGCAATATCGTAGATCATCACCTCACCTAGCAACTCGCGAGGTCGAGTCTTCAGCAGCCATAGAGCCTATCCCACGTGCTTTTCCTGAGGCTGCCACAATCCTCCAGGGAAAGTTCGGGCAGGGTCTTGGGGTAAGTAGCCGTAGCTTCGCACAAAGCGTGATTGGAGATCTTTTCATTAGAAAAAGACGTCAGCTTGACGCGTAATACGCGATCTGTGTTCTCTTCGCCCTCTGGTCAGCGGATGCCCAGCGACAAGACCCCGGTTTTCTGCACAATTTGAATGCGAAACTTGTACACACCCTAAAGTGTACATTGTCGCAGGTCTCAAGGTCGTGTGGTCGTAGAACCTGAACTGCGAGTCCAACAGCGAGGTTTCTGTACTTACGCTCCATGCTCCTTTGGCTTCTGATTCTTCATAGTCGTCCATAAACACCAGCCTTCAAGACTTCGCGTTCATCTTCTTGTGCTTTCTCGTAGGTTTCGGAGGTTTGCGAGACAGCGAAGGTCGCGGTTCCCCGAGCGGACTTGTTGGCCCCATGCCATCGTCTCCTGGCGTGGATGCATTGTGCGCTGGTTCTTGTCTTTGGTGTTCTTAGCGGTGCCATAGTGGGCTACTGGTGGTTGATTGAATAGGCACGTCATATAGTATGGGTATTGACGGAGGAGACCTAGCAGCCGAAGCTGCTGCCCTTCACACTGCAGACATCTCGATCTTAAAAACATGTAGTGAATGAAAGTGATGAGAATGGCGATACGTAGAGACTTCGTGGCCAGCGCACGTCGAGTAGCGGTCGGTGGGGGCGATATGTTGGCGACGCCCCGCTACCCTTCCTTTCCGCGCCATCCCTGCAGGCGCCAGCAGAGCCGCCGGACGCGACTTCCTCATGTCTGAAGATCGACCAGCAGGCACAACAAACAGCACCGTAACTTCCTTTACCCTGACGATGCCCTAGCAGCTTGTCGCATGCTATTCTGGAGGTGTTTGCGACTCATCTGCGACTGTACGAAGTGCTCGAAAGCGTCCAATCCACCTTCAGCCCTCGTTTTCTGCGAGTAAACAATCCGCCAAACAAACACACGGAAATATCCACACGGCGCATAGCGATCTCCATTCTCCCACAACCCTCTCTTCCCTCCTCCCGCTCCACGACGAGGACACATGCTTCGCCATGTTTTCGTGGATTACTGGCCCGCGCATCACGAACGTGATAGAAGATCTCCAGCCCGGTTTGTCGCACTGAGGTACGCGTCCAAAGACGTACTAATAGTCTTAGAAAACAACTACGAGTCCACCTTCATCGAGCCTCCCGAGACGCCCGCTCATCAGTTCGCCGTCAAAGCTTTCAAGCACGCCATATTTGGAACGCCTGCACCCGAAGAAGCGAAAGATGCCTCGAAGAAGAGCGAGAGGAAGGCGAGGATAGATGCAGCAAATGCAAAAGCATTTAATCTCCCCGCGGCGAAAGAGAGTGGGCCGCCCATCTCTCCATCGAAACAGCCAGGCGGCATCCTCATGACGCCAGGTACCGCAAGCAAGGGAAGGAAGCAGGTGTCGTTCGGGTCGCACGTGGTAGACAATGAAGGCAAGCGCGGCAATATTGGCAAGACCGGCATACCCAGTGACTGCCCCGGAAAGTTCCCGAGTCCTTGGACACCTGGCACACAACTGAAGCTTGACCCGGAAAGTGACAAACGACCGCGCACCCGCCTCACCGAAGCCCTCCTCGACGCGCGGACAACCACACAGCCGAAGTCGGGACAGAAACCGAAGGCGAGAGACGACAGCGACACCACAATAGACTTGGGTGCCCCGCGTTCCGAGTCTGGTAAATACTGGAAGGAGCAATATGAGAGCTACGCGGAAAAGAGCGAGAAGGAGATGAAGAAGGTCATTGCCAAGCAGCAGCTGGCGAAGAAGTTCGCTATGAAGAAGGACGGCGAAGCCACAGAACTATCCACCAAGCTCGAGCAGGAACGCAAGCGATACAGGCAACGGGAGCGAGACCTGGAACAACAGAACAAAGATCTCCAGGAAAGGCTACGTCAAGCGATGGCTGAGAGCATGTCTTCGAATATCGAGATCGCAGCGCTGAAAGCCCGAATCACAGTCCTGGAAGCGTCAGGCTCGATACCTTCCTCTGAACTTCAACAGAACAAAGCTCCATTCGAGATATACGAAGATGCGAATAAGGATAACCCACGATCGCCAACGCGTGGCTTAGATATGGACCCTGAAGTGTCATTCGCTCCTAATAACAGCATGGCTTCGTCTACCAAGGAGAACTCGTCGCCCAAGCCCCGCCTTCACCGCCGTGGTACGATTCCTGACACTTTGAACCGACCAGTGCTCCCGTCTAGACTTGGAACAGCAGAAGGTGAAGCATCTATCATCCTAGGCCGATCGCCTCATGCACCGCACGACGCCCCTTTGAGATCACTCTGGAGAAGGCGCTTGCACAGCCTCAGCACGAGCAACCGCAGCGATCGCCACTGAAGATCCGCAGGCCAGTCGCAGCTGACGAGAATTATGCGCCAAAGTCACCCGCCGCGATCCCACCGTCTAGTCCGTTACCTGTACCATCTCCGGGTCTTGATCCCTGGATGGAGATTAACAACAGTTCGATAGCGCAAATGGACAAAATGGCTCTACCGGTCTCTACCGGTCAGCCATACTCACGGCCTGAGTGGAACCCACCACCAAAGCAACATCGAGTATCGAAATCCATATCGCACGTAAAGTCGACAGAGACAACCAAGTCAAACGAGAAGGTTACAATTCCCGAGCATAAGGTTGAACCTACACGACGCAGGGAACGTGCTACCGAGAAGGCGACACACGTCTCAGAGCTCGAGGCAACCTCTGTCCCATCGAAGAAAGACGAAAGGCAAAAGGTAGACGAATCCAAAGCCAACGCATCATCCCATCATGCTCCTACCGACAACAAGTTTGACCTCTCGAAAACACACACACCATGCAGAAGGTTCTGCGCAAGTGAAGCATGACCGGAGCCAGATGTTACCTGTTGACCGCAAAGAGCAAGCAAGAAGAAGACTTGAAGAAAGAAAGAGGTTGAGGAAGAACGGTACTACTATTGTTGGTTCTTAATCGTTCACTGGCGTTTTGGATAGGGGTGTGTTGTGTTTTCGTCTGGGTGATCAACACGTTCAAGGCATATGTTATCGGAGTATGGTGTTGTCCTGAGCATTGGATTCTGGTTTATCGCACGATACCTTCACATGCTTCATCCTTTAGAGCATTCGTTGTCAGTGTATGATTATTCAAACATTGTTTTGCACTTCATGCAGATCGAGCTCTCCTGTTCCAAGGGTATCGTCCCAACAACGCCTGAAATGCTTCAATCGCCTACGCAAAGCCCTCACTTGTTCGCCGCAGGCAAATATCCTCCAACGCCTTATACACCGGTATGTGTCTTCTCCAACTGCGCCCGCTATACGACGTCATCTTCCCCAACACATATTGCTCACACAACGTTCGGGTCCCTACTCTCCGTCCCTTTCCACGCCGACTACTCCCACTGGACGTCTTAGCATCTGTCCCAGAAGACGCTCTTAACCATACATGCCCTTCGCGCTCGCAGCAGCACCATCTCGAATTGTAACCTTCCCCAATGCAGACATCAAGCTCATCATGCACACCACCAACCTCCCTTCCACGTCGCACTTCCTGCAGCCTGCCGTATGCCGCGCAACCACTCACTGTTAGCCTTTTTCACTGACCCCCCGCTTTGTTCATTAAACGATGTGGATTGCCAGATGTCCAGTCGTCCATTGCTCTTTGTCTGTCGCTACTCGCCGGTATCCCGTTAGGGCCGAATGCCATGTGTGTGGCTGGAGGTTTTGAAATAGCCGACATGCTTCTGGAAGGGCCATAGCGTTTCGCTTCTGCGAGGGCGGAGGTGACGATGTGGCCGGCGGAGTGGAGCGTGTTGGCGTAGGTAGCGCCCGGGTTGCCGATGGAGGCTCTGATGAGGGGGGATGCGGTTTGCGCGGCGGGCTTCGCCATTGAGGGTGGTTGCGGTATGTACAGGGACGAATCGTCGGTTTTGGCAGCATACTTTCGGTTCTGCCTTGTGGTTTGTTCGCGGGTTGCGGGGTTGGTTTGTTGTGTCTCGGTGTCGGAGTGTGGGTGGGTCGGGAGGGCGGAGTGGTCTTTGCTTCTCTTGCTTGCGCTCCTCTTTGCGAAGCTGCTTGCGCTTCCTTCGTCCTTGCGGCTGCGGTCGTGGGCTCGTCGCTGCTGTACTCGCTGTCTTCTGGTGCTGACTTGGACATTTTCTTGGGGATCGGCGGTAGGGATTAGCGAGGCCGCCGAAAGGCCTCGCCACGTGCGCACGTGTGCTCGCGTCTGACATGATTCAGAGGAAATGGTGTTTCGAGAGATGATACAAGAGCAATTGTGCGGGATATTCGTCCTTAAGCTTGCACACTGTATGCTGGGCCCGCTTGTGAAGTGTGCCATGGCTCTGTCATTGCAGTCGCTGTGAATGTGCCGCTCACAGCCACACGTAAGAGTCATAGGGATTGGTAAGGGCGCAGCATGGCAACCGCCCTTTTCCGGATGTGACCAATATGTCATCATGGAAGATTAGAAACGATTTTGCAGACTTCATTGCATGTGGATAGTGATTTGAGCGTAATCGGAAGTACGATCGTGGGATCTCTTGGCGTACATCATTGCTCAGGAACAGGGTCCCGGTTCCGCATCGCTCTAACCCCGATGACACTTGCCACTTGCGCGGCTCAGTAGTCCTCCACTGGGTACCTCTTTACACATCCACTCCAGTACGACTGAGCATACACAAACTCTATCCATCCCTCCGTCGTCTCAACATGTCTGCACGACCACAACGCCACCAAGAGCGACTCGCTCAGCGGGCAAGCTGCCGCCGAATCCGCCACTCCAGAGCAGATCAGGCGCATGGAAGAGGCTCGGCTTAGGGCAAAGGCGGCTGCGCCACAGGCGAAGCATCAAAACCTTCACCAGCGCCGGTCGCAGGCACGAAGCGCACATACTTCGTCCATAACCCCGCGCAAACTCCAGCGACCCTCGCAATGCGGCTCTGCAGCATCTCCTCAGAAGCGCGACCAAAATGGCTTCATACAGCCA